GATATAATAACCAAATAGCTTGAAAAGGAGACGAAGAAAGAAATATCTCACTTACTCGTGAAACGATAACGGCGACAGGCCTTCGCAATAGCACACGACGCCGCCTGGGATTTTCATGATCCACATTGAGCATGAAATCAATCAAGCAAAAGAAGCCCACATATCCAATATTAATCAAACCATTAGATCTGGAAAAGGATCGTGGTGCTTAATGTATTACTAAGTTCATTGATTTGCAATGATATAATTGCCTCATCACTTTTTCATCCAAAATCACATCAGTGGCAGTTGTTAGAAATGTTCTGCTGACAACTCAAAAAGGTCGGAAGGGGCAAGACGGTATTTTTAAGTCCCCTTTTGAATGAAAATTAAATGAGGGGACGCAACATAAACAAAACTTTTCCGAAACTCCTAAATCCTCGACAAGCAATCAAATGACCGTGCGACCTTAACTCGTCTAACCTTGAAAGTAGAGTTTCCGATTAGAACGTAGCCCATCAGAACTAAGGCACCTAGAGGTGGTCAGTGGTGCCAGGATTAAAAAAAACACAAGAAACGGCTCCAGAACCGAGAAATGGGACCCTTCCTTGCCCGTTGATTTTCGCATTAATGCGACTCTCATCGGCGCAGCCTTCTTCAGCGCTAACGCTCTTTGTGCGAAATGGCTTAAGGCCAGCAGCTGATGGCTAAGCAGTCAATAGGCGTATCGCCAAGGAGCCGGCCATGCTATTCGCTAGGGGCATATCCTTCACTGCGAATTGCGTGTCAGTTCGCATCCTTAGAGGGTCTGCCTGTCTTCTCAGTTGGTAAAAATCTACTTCTTCGACCTCCGACCTCATCGTGGGATCCTTCAAGTCCCACTCCTCCCCTATGAAAGAAAGAAAGAATAAAGCAAACGCGTCGATTGAATCATCCTTTTTTGCATGTTGCTTACAGTCCAAATCACTGGTATTTTGCGGGTGATTTGGCCTGCACAATGACATGCAGTTCCCAGACAATGGAAGAGTTGTGCTCTTATTCTCCCACAGGTCTGGCAGCAATTAGCAAACCGAGGAAGTATGAAAGACTTGGTCGGCCTGGACGATCCATGATTTGATCCTTGGTAAGTGTGCGCTATAAACAGCTTGCCATTGCACTCCCCCCAATGCACATAGTCACCAAAAAAATCACTATACGTAGACAATATTCTGTAAACTACGAGCTTACATTCTCGCAAATAATAGCAAATGATACAAAAATTCAGAAAGAAACTTACCGCGTAGCATAGGCGAGACCGAAACAGAGGAGAGAGCCGAGATAGCGTATAAAAAACGACGGCCGATCCTCTAGTAGTACGCAAATGCCAGCAAAGGTTAACATGCAGTAAAGCTGAACGATACACAATGACAAATGGTACCATTGAAAGCTTGATTTTAACATAAACATACCGATTCTGTATATGCAGCAGAGAAAAATATCGATGCTGGGTTTGCCGAGAACAGCAGCACAGCAATTATAGCTTGTTTAACAGAACGGGAAACACGCAGCACAATGCGATAAAGAAGAGCGGCCGCGATAAGAAAGCAACCCTAGGTTATAGAAAATTATTTTGTAGTAATTCAAAATCTAAACAGACTGTAAAAGTACTACGGTAACTAACCAGGTTTATCGCCACTGCCGATATCAACAAGGCGGACGACACATGTATAAAACCGAAATGAACAAATGGAGCTGCCAAAGCCATAGAAAGCAGCCTACAACTAATGAACATAAGAATGATCAACACAAGTATTTAATTTTACCATCAAAAATTCGAATCACAACGACCAATCAATCACCTTATAGTCATGGGGTAGAACGGAAAAAATGCCAAACTATTTTCAAAGACATATTCATGCTGTGCAATATGTAACATGTACACAGCATCCCATCGTTTGAAACCAGCTAACGCTCTTTGTATAATAAGATCCAATCTGGTAAGTTCTTCTAGAATAAAAATTACATTGAGTTATAAATTGAAAGTAAGAAGTCGTAAAGTTTCAGGATAAACAGCTTACCATTCGTAAAGAGAACTCCTTGAAAGCATCAGTGAGAAATCCGAAGAGTAAACAGCTAGCAGAAATATAAAAATTCGAATACGATTGATGAACCACGGAAAAATGAAGTCAGCGCAAGTTGGGAGGCTCACAAGGAAATTCCACCTTTTCTCAAAAAGCCTGAAGACCTGTTGCGAAAATCGAAAGTGCTATAAGTTCAGTACGGATAAGGTAAACGTGGCCAAAGAGATGCTAAAGTATGGCCGATAGCGAGATAGCGTGTAATTTTTCGCCAGATCATGTACCTTTCTTTCGCAGCATAGCCAAAGAAGGGGAAGTTAAAGGAAGCAGTCACGATAATTTTCATGGCAACGATAAGGAAAGCTATGTATTGGAGTGGATAGAGGTCCTGCCCAATGTTAGAACACGTAAAGTTTCAGTGGCAGTGGCCCCTTATCAATGAAGTGATAAGGAGCCGAAATTCACTCAAGTTCAGCAAAACCCAAGACTTATCGATGTGGAAAGGGGTGCGATAAGAGCGTGCTAGATATGATACCGTTATCGTTATCGTCCCGTTTTCATTCTGGAGTGCACCTCTTATCAAGCAGCCGCACCTTCTTATCTCATCGTATCATATCTTCCATGGGCTTACACTCGTCCAACAATTACTGCCTCACACCTTATCGATTGATAACGCGAGGGTAGCAAATCCAGCGTGGAAGCCAGCGTGACCGCTTCCTTTAAAAATAAAATGGCAGAATAGGCCTCTATCAATTATATCACAAATTCTACTATTGTTTGCTGAGCTGAGCATGGTAACAGAAGCTCAGCAATGTGGCTAATAGTTTTTTTTTTGGAAAGTTGCTATCTTCTACATCACCTCTGCCATGCCATGTTTACGACGCGTAGTGGCTGAGAGATTTAAGACATGCCGCAATCGGATAGAGAAATACAAAAGCTGCCAGACGAAGATGTTCGTTAAAAAAGCTTACCGGGTGCCGAGTACTTGAGCGAACAAGAAGTCCTTGATTTGAGATGGGGATGTGTCGAAAAACACCGTGCTGTCAGCGTCGCCCTTCTAAAGTGAATAATGAATTTCGATGAAATTCTGCAAACTTCAATTACTGAGTTGGCGATGTTTCAACGATAAAAACACTGGCCGTTGGTCCGTTCATTTTTGTGATGCTCCACGCGTACTTCCAATAAGGCGCGAAAACAAATATTGTGGCATTGGAATGCAATTTACCCATTTTACCAAATTACCCAATTTTAATTTGAATTTCATGCAATAAAGAATTCGGGGAGCTTCCGCGTTTCCCCAATCTCAGACAATTCTGATACCCAACAGTATAATGGTAGAAGACATGGCTGGCTAAATTAGATTCGAACCGTGATTTCTTATTGGATTGAATTTCCTCCAGGCCACCCATGTTCGCAGAGAAAGGAGCTGTTTGACACTCACCACCTTAGCCCCTAGGACCATATGCTATCTTTCTCTAGGAATAAGGCAACGATCTCTTTCTCCTTGTCTCCCCAACCAAAAATGCCCCAAGAAAAGCTTTTTTGCAAAGCGTTTCTGCAAGTAAAAGTCAATATGTACAGGTGTGGGATTCGAATCTTACAGATAAATTTAGGAGGATGTTCGCTCGAATGCCCCGAGAGACTAGAGTACGGCCCCTGATTGCGTTTAATATGACTGTTCATCTACTTGCTCACCGCAATTGTTGCCACCTGAAACTTAATCAATAATGATACAAAACACACCGACCTCGTAAAGAATAAATGAAGGAACAGAGAAATACGACATGGCTGCTTCTTCGCTAGGTTCCTCCTCTTTATCTTCATCATCTTCATAGACGGACCGCTTTCTCGTGCATGAACTCGCAATTACTGGCGCACAAAAGCCATCGCTTTCTGAAAAATTCGAATGCGATCTGGAGAGAGTCTGACTTAAAACTATACATTAAAAGCTGTCTGACCGAAATGCTGATTGTTGATTGAACGAA